GTGGAACTAATACAAGACAGGGGCAAATTTGTCATTGGCGACGTCGTTGAGCGAAAACGGCTCCACGTGTCATGACGTCAGTGATCGGAGGGCCCCCAAATCGCGGCATGTCGCCAGCCGCGCGGATCCTCAACACCCCCCTTATTCACACGGATATTTATCTTGGCTTATCCTCACACCTAGGTCTCGGTGTTAGCGCATCTATGATTCGCACATCGGAGGTATAAATACACACGCGCAAACCCCATACACCACCACGGCTTCGTCAAGTTCTCGAATAAACGGTTGACTCCCTGTCCTTCCGCAGACTTCATTCTTGTTGGGTAATTAGCGGTATATGGCGTCCCAATAGTGGATTTCCAGTGTGTGGATATTTCAGCAGCATAGAATCTGTTTTGCTCGAAGACGCATTCACGTGGAGATGGGAAGCTGGAGAGTCGGTGCTTAAGTCATCAAATTTTTTATTTTGCTCTCAAGACATGGGGCGCGTCAACAAGATAACTTGGAAGGGCGCAGACGACGCTTAATTCTTGTAAACTTTCATTGATGTGAAACTTGGTAGTTAGTCCTTATGACCGATGTTTGCGTTACTGAGACGGTCACATAAGTGTACGATTGGTCAGGCCAAGATCACCCAAGATATCTGTAATCATTTCCTTCTGACATCTTGTTTGGTCTTAGACTGTCAGTAAAGGATTTTTGCCACCGAAAATCAGGTTTACTGGGCTTGGTAACTCACTCCATGGGTCTGTTCTGTGTCCCACGTGTAGGTGTTCGAATCCCGCCTTTTCGTTAGTGATTTGTAATCTCATACACGACATTAAATCAGCACTAGCCACAACCGAGTTAAGCCATCAAAAACCGCTCGTATCTCCGTTGCCTTGAACGCTTTTAACCACACCTCCTACTAGGTTTTCCAATAAATTCTGACAAATTTTGAAGGAATTTTTAATCAGAAGCCGAAATCTGTTAAAAGCATTCCTTGTTTACTTCCTAGAAATGTCTCTGTCAATGATGCTACTCCTGCCTTAAATGTTTTTACCGTGCCCGAACCAACGTCAATTCATTTGATTCCAGACTTCGATTATTCCATTTCTGCTTGCATTTCCTTTATAAACTGACACAGCGTCAAGCAAGAACACAATTCCTCAAACACGAATCTGAGCCCTTATTCAGATCTCTTACTCCCTTCTATTGATGCAAAAGTGCGTCTTTTAAGCTGTCTGCGGTCTGGCGCATCTTGCAGCTTAGTCTGCAATAAAGGGGCTTTTAGTTCAATTGTTGGACACTTTGGAAGATGTCGGCTGTGTAGATCTTGGGAAAACCATCATTCCCCAAGACGATTCCTCACTAATCAGCCGTTAGTTACCTCACCCATGAATCTCTGCTGAGTTTTTCATTTGTGTTTATCCCGCTGCTCCCCAAGTTCTAGGTCATTCATGATTTATACAAAACTAGCGTTAAACAGCTTGTCAGTCTGACCCCACATCACCTGACTCAATTCTACGCTCGGATCGATTCAGTTTGTTGATTCAATGCCACCGATAGGTTGTGATCACACATTTACTTTGGACTTGTTAAAAACTAGTAGCATACTTGCTTGGCGCTATAAAGAGGTCATCGCATCGCGAAGATCAAATTTTGGTCAATGTTGTGATTTAAGTAGTAGCCTCTGTGAACAACTCAGAGACCACCACCACCACCACCACACTCATGTTGGACGTATTTAAGATCGTTGGCTTTTACTACGCATTAACAATCGTGGATTCAATTGACCGCCTTAAACTCACGTGGTTCCGAGATTAACTGTCAAGGGTTCCTATTTAAACTGAGAACCACACCTAACCTTCTACACACCGTCCTACAGAATCTTTTCCCAGTGAAAATGCTGCTGCAGTTGCTAGTGTACTTATACTTAGCAAGCTCAGGGTGTGGACTTTAGATGCACGTACAATTTACTCACGCCCAACTGATTTCACTTCACTTCGTGTGAACAGTTGCGTGCAGCGCACACCGATCATTTCACGCGTTCCACGCCAATTCAACGACAGCGTGTATGCCTGCTTGCAATTCTCACGCGAATTGACAAGTCAGCCAAACAAAGCATTACGTGAGCAATTCCAGTGACCATCCGCTGACTGCAATGCCTCAACTCAAAGCGAAGTATTTATCACTCGCAAGGGTAGTTAGTGATAGATTGCAAAACGGAGAAGTTAAGATTTCAGAGATAATTTTGTGATCGGTTTGGATACATCGCCGATGGTAACATTACCGGTTATGCGTGCCGATTATACACGCTTTTGGAATATCTTCCTTCACAGTACACGGATAATTCCAACCCAAACATAAACTCCGAGTACCACAAACTTCACAGCGCCCAATTTATCCTGATTCGGTGTCAAAGCTCGTTTAGCGGTAGTAAATAGGCAATCATTGTGGACTAGAGATGCAGTTGGTGTTCAGTCACATTCGTTAATGGCTTCAATGCATTACTTGTCAACAAGCCTTACATGCAATGTTTAAATCGTTGGTGGAATTCTACCGCGTTTTCGAATACTCTGACTAAACACAGACCTACCGATTGAGTTTTGACATGAGTAGACAAAATCGATATCTGTAATCTGCATCAAATGAGTACCTATGCTGAAAGAGCACCGTTTGAGAAACTCTAAAATGACAAAATTATGGTTCTGCAAATTCACCTGTCACAAGATATTCAATTGTGGACTTTATTGGGCCAGATGAACTCCTTGATTCCTCTCCGTGAACCACCGTCTTCCAACAGAATATGTTGGCACGTCTGACCAAAATCAGCGATTGAATAAATGGTTGAGCACCTATCGACTTTGATCTTAAATGATCCGGTTTACATATAGGATCTACATCTGGACCTTCAACATGTTGAAATCATTTTTCCAAGTGGTGTTTTGTGTTGCCGGATGACATTAACTTGATGTAGTCAATCAAATCTTGTGCTTCGGGATCATCGTCAAAATTGATTATTTAGTCAATATTCTCCGACCTAGAAACATTCGTCAATCCAATTTTTCTTTGTTAAAACTGGTACATTTGCTGTCACTTGCGTTCTACGCACTCACTTCGCTAGAAGTTAGCACCGTTTTCATCGTAGTGCGTTTAATCCGGAGTCAACCAATCAAATCTCGCCAGCAGTATCATCGACATTATGAATTTTCTACATTATATTTTGCATTCTAGTCATTTTTTTACTTACATTGTGTATGTTTGCTGTCTATTGTCTTCTTCTATGCATTCATTCCATCAAGAGTTAGCTGTGTTAACCCCGTAAAAGTTTTTTTTCCCGAACAGGTATTGTTTCCTGCTTCGACGATTCACGTGTCATTCCTCTGTAACAATAATACACTTCTGCAGGACGAAAAAAATCCAGGCACTGTCTTTCTGCTTTTGTGTCCTTCATCGTCAACCAGCGTGTCTGGTGCACGTATTTCCTTACAGGCTGCAAGTTGACTCGACGTCGTAACCATGACAACACAATACCCATTTTAGCCGTTTTAAACAACTCTTTTCGAAAAGAGTGATTTAAATGCCGTAAGAGTTGTGTGTCGTGAATAGACAGGCACGGCCACTCGCGTACAGAGTCGAGTCATACATGCACTTTTGCCAATATGCTACATACTACACCTAACCCATTTCCACGTGAATTTACTTGTCGAACCGAGGGTATAATATGCGTCTAGCACATAATGCTACCTGCCACAGAGCAGACAAATATCCCAAATTGAAAAATTAATGTATGAGGAACGCGTTGAACCCTAGAACTTAATTAACACTGTGGCTTGATTCCACCTGCAACTCATCACTCAGCTTTAATCACTCAAATCAACAGAGTAAAAATGCCCAGGCTTTGCACAAATGCGCGCATCTCAACAGGCACTTGACTTCCACTTTAATCTCGATTCGTCCTGGATCCTTTGTCTGAGACAGTAAATCTCTCTGCTCTCCACATCCTTGACGTGTCCAGTAAGGGGTTTTAAATATTTGACATTAGATATTTGCATCTACACTACCTTAAAACCGTTTGGTTAACAGTTTTTACGAGCCGGTACCCCATTCCTCATATCCACGATATTTTGTTGGGTTAACACGACTCTGAAGTCCTGTCAAGCCTCGAACTTGTACAAGCTTATCATCAGATTCCTGTTGTCTCTCAGAAAGTCCCCAGAACTGCCGTTATTACTCCAATCGGCCACTTTGAGTTCCTACAGATGTATTTTGGTTTGCCCAATGCAGCGCAGACTTTTCAGGGGTTAATGGACCAAGTCTTGTGCGATCTCGACTTTGTTTTTGTCAATTTTGATGAAATTCTCATCGCCAGCAAGGACAGCATTTACTGTACTTGGGGCATCATAATTAACTCTCAAAAAGTGTTTTTGGATTAGACACTGTTGATGCAGACAATATAAGACTCCCGACTGACGGATGTTTCCCAAACTGCTGTCGGCGCAGTGCTTCAACTAGCACTGAACAGTCGCATTGATGCATTATCGTTCTTTTCTCGGAAACTTCGACCGGCCCAGACTCGACAAGGGACATTTTTCAGAGAACAATCAACGATTTAGCTTTCTGTGAAACAATTCCGTCACCTACCGGAACGACGTGAGTTTTTGCAATTTTAGCTGATCATAAAGCCATCATTCATGCAGCATCTGATCGGCATTCTCTACGCAAATCGAGGCACATTGATAATACTACACAGTTCCAAACCAATATCTGCGAAATTAGAACCTTACTTGGAGTTAAGGAATGGCTAGATGAAATCATTGACTCAGTCATAATTTTCCATAGAATAGGAAACCATGCCTGATAGGTAAGTATTGAAATCGTTTATTAAAATGTCACCTCATGCTGCCTTTGAGCAGGCTGTACACAGAAAAATGGCAGAGAACGAGGCAAGGAAAGTCGATTGATGCCAGGAATCGGGAGCGTGGTGCAAGAGTATCAGAAATCGATACCTGGTCACATCAGCCAACAAGATTTGTGTAGGCATAGCGATGCGGTCTGTGGGGAGGTGGTCGGAGTTGGGGAGGCTGGGCTGGTGGTCGGGCGGATCGCATTTCCCCAACACCGTCTAGTCTATACAGGACCGAATAGTGTCCGAGAACGGGACTTCGCTCAACCTGCAGCTGGTCCAGTCGCTGCGTTATCTTCTCCAGGGCGCAGTGGACGTCTACTTCACCGCGCGATGCCTCTTCACTCGTCTCGTCTCCCAACGGTGTCAACACAGCCGGCACCTCCTCCGCTTTTGTGGGTTCAACTGGAGATGTGGAAGTGGTTCTTTTAGGTGGCAGCGGTGGAGGCAGGCATTTGTCGATGAATTTCACCTCAGGAGCCATCGAGCCCGGTCGAATCTTGCGTTTTTCATGGTCGATTCGACGAGAGCAACGCAGTCGCGAATTTTGTGGCGTCGGGCCACTGGGACTACGCTTGAGCCAGCCATTGGTTGGAAGAGCCATGGAACCTTTTAGTCGCATAGACAAGTTATCTGGCATTGTAGAGCTACGGTAGGGAAGAATAAGTAAGGACACGTCGGTGTCATCGCTTCTGTAGATTTCCTGACGGCTATGGGTGGTGTGCAGTGGTCGGAGACGAACATCCATGCCTGCCGCTTTGGGGGCTTAAGTGTGCTGCCTCCGAGGCACAATTTGCAAACATCTGTTCATTGCGCTTCTGATTGGTTATCGCTCCTCGTGACCGGACTGGCCAACCTCGTTGGCCAATAATATTGGCCCATGTTTTGAGGCGTAGATTTTGGTGCGTGCTTTGAATTCCGGAGTATTTTTGACTTCGTGATCATTATTGTTCAATGAGCACTTCGGCAAGAATCTAGCACATATCCCACCCCTCTTAATCACAAACTTTTCATTAAAAACGAACAGCCAGTTTGCACTGGCGGCCGACATTTCACTTCCCTGGATGAAAAGCAACGGTTGCCACTGCAGTCAAGATGTCAATTCAATCGATTATGGAATTCAAATATTTGATTTATGTTCTCATCTCTGCGATTTGAAGGCCATTTGTTTCTATACATGCCGACGCCTTTTCACATAAAAGTGACAACTTTCTTATTGCAATAGCGAAATTTTACGACTAGTGTAATTTTTCCTGGTCACGTTGCGTTCACATAGAGCAAGAAGGCCTCTACATGAAAACGTGACTGATTATATGTTTGCTCAATAGGTGACTAAGCCCCGAAGAGAGTGACTTTAATTGTTCTTATCTAAGGACATTAATACATGGATGAGACATTGAGCCCAATGACGTCGAAGATGAGACTCGGAGGTTACGATCCAGCGTATAAACTCTTTGCGTTCAAACTGCCAAAGTAAGCAGAATTCTTATTAGAGCAGACATCAGACACTGACGCCGTAAAAGAACACTACCCTAAGTCGGCCCAAGGGAGAAGTGCAGGGGATGTCAATATTCCCCGCGGCAACATAATTAACGCTGTAATTTGTGAATTCTATTCAACCAGCTCCGTACACACGGTCGCAAATCTACGCTCACACTGCGTTTTTGTCCACACCAACAACTTATCGATCTTAGATCGTCCTGCGAATATAATTGGGCAAACTTCAAGGTAAACGCTGCGTCCACTTTGACCCCAACTAGTGTTCGAACTTTTGGTTCAGACAGTAGAGCCTTCCGCCAGAACTATTGTCTTTCTGTTGGGGATTCACGATACCCCACGACTGCTCGTCGTTGGTTTCTGGCACCATTTACACTAATTCACTAACATGCGTTTTACTACGCTATACATTAGGTCAAGGTCAACCTGACGTGATTAAAGCTCTCTACACGAGCTCTGGTTTTGTCCTTGTATTAGGGAGGGAAGGTTGGTGCTAGAGTCAACAAGGGATCTGGTACCGTTATTTGAGTGGTTTTCTCTTTGTTACGGGCAAACGTAACATTAGGACATACTGTTTGCTTGAATTCGCAAAATACTTAGATATATTCTCAGGAGCTAAGGTGTCTCTATGAGAAACATATGATGACAGGATTAGTTAACGTGAATCAACACGATTCTCTGCGTTGCGTTAGTGTCATGGCTGCTACCAAAGGTGTTTGATATCGAAGCAGTTCTTCAAGCGGGTATTCATAGTCATGTGTCTTCAAGTTGTCGAGCAGTGGAAAAGGACTAGATTTTTTCTGGCATCGTTTATACATGAATGTCGGGGAAAGACTTCCACGCACTGATCAACACCGAATCGGTGAGTGTACAGTCTGCTTTATGACTCAGTTAAGCCGCCAAAACCATCAGTCCTAACTAACTCGTCTAGACACATTTTATTTCACATGACGTTTACTGCTGCTGCAATCGAACAGTTAAGCGTTCGACGTGGGTGGTATATAGGCCGCGCTAATTAAGTAATTTAGTGACCTGTTTGAAATCAAGCGACAATCTTGATGTCCGTCAAGCTACCCAGTCACACTATGACTGTGTTCACACCAACACCACTCTACACATCAAATTCTACTAGGCGTATTCTGACACTCATTGTCGGTAGGCTATTCGTCCTGTCAACACTCTCTTTCTAACCGTGACAGCGCTCTTCGTTCTTCCAGGTTTCAACTCAGAAATAATTAGATAAAACCATGATTTTGCTTTTGTGCTAGTTTTCAACAAAGTCAAAAACATTCTTACAAAAACTTTCCAACAGAATTTTGACCACCACCGCGTTTTTAAAGCTGAATCTCTCTATATGTCCAACTGTGATAAGTGAAAAAATGTTATTTTAGCATTGACTTGTGGATTTAGTGGCAGTCTGCAACAAAAATGGAAGCAATCGGTGAGTAGCAATTTGGTTGGATGTCAGTAAGATGTGCATCACTAGATCTCTGTAAACAACAAATTCCTGTCAACCTGACCCTACCAACTTCTCTCATAGGCTACCCGTTGTTTTATTGAATGAATGTTTGTGTAGCAATTTACGAAAATGCTTTAAATTAGTGATGATGAGATGATTGGGTGAAACAATCAGCAAACCAGGACATCTCTTCATCTGAGGCGTGGAGCAAGTACAAGACCTGACCTGTAAGAGCTTCTCGTTTATTTACTCACCAGCACAGCTGTAGTAGAGCAGAATCAGGTGATCTAACATCTAAACCGTTTACCGACAGCCAATCAGGACGCACGAAACCAATGCTGTTTGGGATGTCAGCATGGTTATTTGTGACGTCGATTTACTCAAATCTGTTCACTTGATTACACCTCTGCTGTCACGCCACATCGTCGTCCACACCACCAACTCATATACAGTGTAAAAATGCTACAAATAACCCTTTTCTTACCGCTACTGTTCGCACAGATTCATTCAATGCATTTTCATGATGCTCACAGACAGATAATCGCGTTTTAGTCACAAACAATGACATTATTCAAAAAGGCGTCACAGAAAAGATCAAATTTTTGTCCCATGTTCATCAAAACTCATTTTGTTGTGTCTCCACTAAGAGAACACAACACAAAAATTGGAAACAAGCAATATAAAAAGCAGGTTTGCCTGCATCTGCTTCGGCAATTAATTAACAAAAGTGCCTATCATTTTCTGTATTTCGGCTGCAAAAAATTGTCTGGAACAACATTTATGCAATTATTTTTTTTCGGAGTAATTTACGTGGATGCCTCCCATTTTTGCAATTTCGCAATTCCAGACAGAGTTTGTTTTTTTCCTTATCTCGTAGCATCTGTGTCTTACTTAAACCCTACTTTTAACAGCGGACATGTCAACGTTGTCATGGCAATGGAGCAGTGCGCATAAAGGTTAATGTAAAGCGACAAGGTCGTTGTAATGCGAAAATTTTTTTCTAAAATAATTTAATATATGATCCACCCGAAATTGATGTCCGGTTAAAGATTCTTGGAGTGTTATCGATCTGCACAGGTTCACACAGTTTGAAAGCAGATATTGACCAATAGGAAAGTGGATTTTTGCAAGATATTGGCGCGTACAATATTCATTGGTGGATGATATTTCCGATACTTTCACGAAGTGCAATTTAAATAAAAGAAATGAATCGATTATTTGAAGTGGTAACACAAGAAATGTAAGTCACCCAGCACCTAAATAATTTTGTTCTCCTGAAATTTGTTAAAAAGAAATTGAATGCGCCTTTATTGCATGGCATTTTTCAATAACCAGTCGAATCTTCTCTTAAAGCTCATGCGTTAATTGATGTTGCGTTTATTTGCATTACTTTTTCGATGCGGTGGGCCAAACTTGAAATATTGGGCAACATTTAACATTTTTTCGGTTCTCTACGGAGTGAATAGGCACGACCAGTAGCTAGAGCAGCGCACACATGACGGACCTTATTGTAGTCAAGTGATTGTCGGTTCGGCAACTTTGATCTTCACAATGTCCCGTCCATGACGCAGTACATTTTACAACTGCACAAATTGCGTGCGAATTTGTGGGCTTTTAGGTGCACTTCAGTCAACTGCAAACATAGCAATTTCATTTTATGACAATTAATAGAGAATAGGCACTAGTCGTTCACTCTATGACTGGCACGCGTTGTCTTTTGTTTTAAACGGGTTTAAATTTTGTGTCACATTTAAACGTTTTCGGCTAAATAAACATTAATGATTTCTTTTTTTTAAAAAAAATCGATTCTTAAATAATTGGGAAACAATTTACTAACGTTGTAAACTGCTTCCAATCGATACCAGATGATGTGAAGTATTACAAAAAATGAACTGGCATTTTGGGAAACCACGAACAAATAAAGATCAACTTTTGTATAAATGCGCAGCTGGTTTCAAAAAAATGCCTCTAAATTATTTCGAATCGCCAATGAAAACAGACCTTTTAACTGAAATGGTAGATAAATTTCCCTCGTTTGCAATTGGCTTGTTACCATGGGTAAGTAGCTAGGATTTGTAGAGGTCAGTATTCCCCAGGACAATTACCCTTCCGAAATGGATATTGGCAACCCTTCCCATCTGTGTTTTACCGAGTCAAGGTCCCTCGTGGTCAATATCAGCTGAGCATTCTAACGTGTCACTTGCTCATTGGCTGAGACAGCAAGGTCCCTCTTTGAGGGGCCTTGTCTGTGTCCTGTTCTGGGAAGGTGGAATCAGGCGGGAGGCAAGGGATCTGGTGTGCCGATCATCTGAGTGTTTTTGGTCACACCAGTTGATTGTCCATCGTGTAAATCATTGAAATAGTGACCAATATTTATTTGAAGCGGAAGGGCTTGCTGTCAAATGCCACTAACGAAAGGACACCATCTGATGTACTTGAGACATTTTTATCTTTGGTTCAGAAGTCGCCACGAGACTTGTACCCTTTGAGGTAGTTGTGACCGAATACTCTTGCGGTAGGCCAATTGCAATCGAGCAGCACGCGGATTTGACACCAATGGAGTCTGTTTGCAGTGGCTCGTCCCGCCCCAGCGACTACTTTTTAACAAAAAAAACTTGTAAAATAAAGGGGTTGGCAAATATCATTTGAGTTTGCCTGCTTCTCTGTTTGATATAATTTCATTGGGATTTTCTGCGAATTTTGATAGGCCGGTTTCACGTTTACAGGTCAGAATCAAGTAGGTATCACCTTCAAGAGATGTTTCAGTAACAAAAAACTTATATTTTAACAAA